CTCTTCAAAAAAAAAAAAAAAAGTCAATAAAAAAATTTCTTAAAATAAAAAGCAAAAATTTTATTAAAATGAACCTGAATTTTGTATCTAAATTACCAAGTATGACTTAAGGTAATCCATGAAATTTTCAACATGGACAGCAGAGTAAAATAGATACTTTTTTTGGGGGGGCTGGGGGTGTAAAAGGTTAAGTAAGGAGTTCTAATAGTCCTTGCAGAGATCCATTTTCCATTTGGGGGGGGGGATTTAATTCAGAGAGTTTTTTCCCCCCCTCCCTGAAAAATCAGTCATGAAAAATTCAGAGAAATGTCTAAAGCATACTCACACAGCTCTTGGTTCAGAAAAGACATCAGTATGAATGTGCATCATTAGGTCCCCACCGGCAGCATATTCCATTACAAAGCAAACATGCTCTTTGGTTTGGAAACATGCAAAAAGGTTCACCAAAAATGGATGCCTTACACTATTCACAGTTTCAAAAATTCTTTTTTCACACATCAGGCTGTAAGAAAAAATATTTAAAAATCAATAGGTTCCCCCTCCCCAGGCTCTAGTTGGTAACAACATTCTTTAAAAACTACCAAACTATAAAATAAACAAAGTTTTTAACTATTATAACTTTAAAACCATACAATGTGTCTTTGTTTTGCTACAAATGCTTTGAAAAATTTGGTCTACTACTTAACATATATAATGAATTGAAATATATTAATGCAAACTAAAATATATGATTAGCATGACAAAGATTATAAAGTTCACACTGACAATATCAGAGCAGCACACATACAGCTAGTAGTTACAATTAATAAAAAACAGCTTAATTAGGGCAAAACTTGGAAAATTTATAAGGAATTGGTCAGAGAATTTAGCACCTAAGGCATAATTTTTAAAAAAACAAACTTTGTGACCAACGTAATTTCAAGGAGAGTATTTTAAATTCATAGGCTACAGGATTCAAATATTTTATCGTACAATATATGAAGTAAAGATATGCTGCATAAAGTTTTAATTTGGAAGGCTTATTGGAAAACAAGGAGGCTACATGGAGAATTCTATAACATGCTTCAAGAAGCTCCTGAGAATGGTATAATTTCTCTGTAAAGTCTATAGCAACCACAGGTTTTTCCTGTAAGAACGTTTACAAGCTGCTAGGAAGAACAGTGTTCAAAATTGCTGACTCTGGAACATTAATTTTGCCTAAATAGCAAAAAATTACCAGTTCTCCGCTCCCTAAAAATCAACTTGACTTAAAACTTAAAGTAGAAGAAAACCAAGTCAAACGGTCAAATAAAACTTTGGAATTAACTTATTTACATATTTAATCACCCTATTTAAGATAGTCTTTTAAAAGTATATTCTCTAACCTAATTACTATATTATCCTTGAAGTTCTTGCATTTTAGTAATTTTATATATAGATGTATACATATAAATTTACAGTGATTAAAACTCAGAAAGATAAGATGCTATGGTCAAAAATATTTTAAAAAAAGAGGAAAAAAATAGATATAGGTACATTTTAAAAAGCAGGATATATTACTTATTCTGTTAAATGCATATTATCTATAAATGATATTTTAAGGCTTCAGTAAAAAGAAATGGGAAATAGCATCAGCCAACCACAGATGAAAAGTTCCTATTTCACATAAACACTTCAACATCTCCAAGCATAAAAACTTAACAGAATTAGTTTAAACATTTCACCATCTTTCCTTGGTATCCACTAACCAGTAAATTGTCTTAAGAAGGGAAAGAAGGAGTTGGCTGGGGAAAAAACAATATTTAATTAACGCCTACCTTATGTTAAGCATAGATACATTAACTTATTTAGTTTCTTCACATATTACAAAAATAGAAAGTTTTGCTGTTGCAATATATACATCAATTTTCATGACATTAAGTCACAACTTCAGAAAAATTAACAATTTTATTTTTAAAAAACTAACCTGTCTACTTCGTCTCTAGCTACAATGTCTCCTTTCTTTAAGGCTTTTATAGCAAACATCTCATTTGTGTGTTTATATTCAGCCAAAAGCACCTGAAATGAGATTAAAATAATTATTTCCCATTTGAGTTATTACTTTTGTAGGTATTCCAAGAAATATTAAGAGATTACCTTTCCAAAATGTCCTCTACCCAAGACAGCACAACATCTGAAGTCTTGTAGATTAAACTGAAACATTTGCTGAGATCTGAAAACAGTAATGTCAGTTAAAAATAAGGTGGAAGTATGGGACCAGATGTGTAGTAGCAAAGTTGTGTATATATTCTTTACCTTCTATCCTCAAGCTCTCGAACACCACTGTATTCTAGGCCTGACTGAGGAATATCAGATTCAAATTCAGACTGAGATTTTGGACGTATACTATTTCTGTCATTTTCAATATCAAAAACAGTTTCTGAGTCCTGTAAAATATTAAATAGTCATCAAATCACAGAAACATTCAAGAAAACAACTTATTTGGTAAGGATAGAGTTAAAGTAAAAATGTCAAAAGTCAATATATATATTAGTGAGAAAAGTTAAATTGTGATACTGAATATTCAAAGGTTATTAATTTTATACTTATCTAAAATATGTGATAAACACATTATTGTCATCTTCAATGCATATTCAGAAATCATGTTAACCAACCCAGAAGAAGAAGAGTGTTTCAGGCAATAAATACGTCATCTAACATCAACCACGTTCTTATGCTCCTTCTAGCTTAAGCAGCCTATTTTATTTCTGCTGGCCCATGAACATCCAGGGGTTTTTATGTTTCATTCATAAGATCACAAAAAGGCAGAAAAATTTTTAAAAAATCCTCAACTGAGGACATGCTCACTGGTTTTAGAGAAAGGGTGAGGGAGGGAGGAAGGGGGGGGAGAGAGAAACATCAATAATGTGAGAGAGAACATTGATTAGCCACCCTCCATATGTGTCCCGACCGAGGACTGAACCTCTACCTGGGTATGTGCCTGACCAGAATCGAACCTGTGAATCTTCAGTACATGGGATGACACTCCAATGAGCAGCCACATCAGCCAAGGCACAGACAATTTTTAAATAATTGAAATGTACACCTCATTCACTATGATGCTGGTAATTCACATGGTGAAAATGTAAGTTTTTAAAAATGCCTTGCCTGTCCTGGTGCATCCAAATCTCTTAATTCAGCAGAGTCATCAATTTCTCCAAGGGAAGAATCACGTGGTGGGGCCGGAGGAGGTTCAGATTCAAGATCAAAGTCCAATTTGGTTATTGCAGAATCACTTAAAGAAGATAAAGTAATTCACCAAAAACAGTTATAAAAAATGTATTTTAAATAGCTTTAAGATTAAAGCAAACAATTTTAAAAGTGAGCAGAACACTAACTGCAAAATACTTGGAAACACTAACTGCAAAATATTTGGAAAAAATGAGACTTTAAATAGGCCCACTGTAATCAACAGATACAAATGTCACAAAAATTATTTTATAAAAACAATGCTTAAAACTCTTAGACACATACCTAGCTGGAGGTGCTAGCTCAGGGATGCGTACATCAACCACTGGCACTGTAGCAGGCACAGGTGCTTGAGGACTGAAGGTGCCAGAATGATTTACTGTAGGAATAGCTCTTCTCACTAGCCTTCCCCAAGTGGCAATATTAATATTCATTTGAGGAGCTCTGAGAAATGTTTTGCCTGTGGATATTGTAAATAAAGAAAACAGAACAAGTAATATTTTTATATATTACCAAAAGCTATAATTAAAAAATTCACATTCATTGGTTTATAATTTAAGAACAAACAAAATGTGCCACTTAAAAAATAGTTAACTGTTTGTTATAAAGGCTGGTTGGTGCGAAATAGCAAAAAATAGTTTTAAAGAGAAATAAACAGAAACTTTTTTTAAAAAGTCTAGTAATAATATGTGTTTAAGGTTTAATAAAAATTCTTATCTTTTAGAGATACTAACTGCGATATTTAAGGACAAATCAGTATGATGTCTGGGTCTGCTTCACATAACCTGAGGAAGCAGTGAGTGAATGAGATACGGGTGAAACAAAACTGGCCGTGAGCTGACTGCTGTTGAAGCTGAGTGACGGTACACTGCACTAGCTCTATTTATAAATGTGTTTGAAATGTTCGTGAATAAAAAGAAATAAATGAATAAACAAATAAAAGGAAAACAAAAAACAAAGATGGCGATCAGTTTTAAAATAGTATGCAGATTGTCTCAACTTAAGAAAACCCCAGAACATTTAATATTTGATTTCTCGGTAATTACCTTGCTGTTTTGAAAATATTTTCTTTTGTCGTTGGAGTTTGGGTCTTCTTTCGATAACTGGATTAAAAAAGGTAACCTGCAGTGAAGAAAATTCAAGTTGATATGGATATAGCACTGGATTTATGGTTCATGAAACTCACTACACTTCTAAGTTTTGAAAACTTAAGAAAATCTTAGATATAATGTAGTCCAATTCCCTCTGAGAAAACAGAACTAGAGAGGATACATTATTTGTCTTAAGGTTAAATATACCTTTTCAGCAGCAGAGTTGAGCCAAACTTTCAAGCTGTCTGTTGTTTAGCCTAATAGTCATTCCACTTCTACATCATGCTGCCTACACACATAATTTCAAATGCAGTTACGTACATTTAATAAAATACATTTATTACCTCTGCAAATAAAGTACCCTGTGGTTCCAAATAGAGACACATGCCATGTCGTTGGTTGTCTAAAAAATCTTCTAACCTCAGAAATTTTACAGCACACAGAGATCGCCAATCACGCCAATAAACTGAAATTTCCAGTTCACGTGACTAGGATAATTAAAAAAAAATAAACAGAGAGGACATCATTGGACACACACTTGAATAAAAATCACAAAAAATATAAAATACAAATACAATAAACAAAGATAACACACACAATACTTGCACTATTTTAAAGAGTGCTTTTCAATGTTTCTCTTTTCTAATATTTTTTTAACAAATGTATACATTTTGACTCAAAGGAAGAAATTTATATTCTGACAGTCTCCAGCTAAGATATTCCTTTTATATAAAGAACATACAACTGGGAGCAACTAATACAAATGAATGACTACATAAACTTTTTCCGATCTCACAGCTTCAATCTTTTGGATCTTCTGCCTCCAGTTGGTATTACTTGCTGTGCTATTGCTAAAAGACCTCAGTGCTCACCTCAAAGAACTATTTTAAACCTTATTTCCTGTATCAGTGTTGAGTCAGAGAAAGGTGGTGGAGAGTATTCTGCACTTACAGTGTGCCGCACTATGCTAAGCACTTTAAGAATATTAGGTCCCTTAACGTTCAAAAGAATACCTTCAGGTAACAGGACCAGTGACAGCAGGGGCCTGTTGTAAGTAGGTGGAAAACGGGAAAGTCAGACTAAGTTTTATCCAAAAAGATGTTCATTTATTACAACATCAAAAAAAGGCAAATAAGCAAGAACTTGAATGTCCAAAAACCAGGGGTAAGCTAAGTATATTATACTATATCTATATGGGGGAATGCTCTGTAGTCATTAAAATACAGTTTATATGGGGAAGCATATTTAAGGTTTTAAAAATCAATTACTTAATGCTCTTGAAAAACAGAGTTTATAAACTGGGGGATCAAGCCATAAACTCACCTCTACATATCTGTTATAATCCAGACACGTTTTAATTATAAAGCACCAGACTTTTCTATTGTTTCATTTTTCAGGATTTTGTAGACCATCCACAAAAAGAGATAAATATTTTCCCTTTAGGCTCAACAAAGTAATAAATTACTTTTCATATAATAACTTAAAATTTATGAAATTATGCATCTTATGTAAGTTCTTAGTATACATAATATAAAAATCTTTTGACTTTAAATAATAAAACTAGTTGATGCAAATGAATACATGAAACACTTATAAAAAAAATGATTTAAGACAAAATGTGCCAGAGGGGCTCACAGACAAACAGGAAAAGGGCTAGAAAAAGATATCTACGGCAGTATGAGCCCAGGGCCTCCTACCCCATTTCTTCTCTGATACATATTACTGTGGGAGAGAATACTTGTCATGAAAGGAGAAGTAGAAGTAGAGCAAAATTATTTTAAGATCAGTAAATGGCATAAAAAAGTGGTGGGTGTGAATGCTGTCATATTTTGGAAACACTTATTTTGGGAAATAAACGGAATAAATAATTAAACCAGGAATTGGTAATTTAGACTGCATTGTTTTAGACTAAAGGAGGAGAGATCTACTTTTTCCTATCTTCTTCCACTGTATTAGGGAGAAGGACTTGTTATGGATCAGGCAGAAGCGAGGGATATAGATGCTGGGGATGGAATTAGTATTTGTTAAAAGTCCTTATACTTTCACACTGCTAAAATGATAATATTTTATCTTTCGCTGATGACAACAGGTCCAATCAACTCATTTGTACTTATTCTAGCCACTCTGGTAAAACACACATACTGACTCATTTCTCTATTCTCTGTCTCTATTCCATGCTTCAAATTGAAGTGTACTAAACAGATCAGAGATCTGGGATTCAAGGGCCTCTTGAAGCCTCAGGCTAGCTTTCCTGGAGCCCTATATTGAGGTTTTAGGTATAAAGCTCTTCAAATTTTGTTATTTTGTATTGCTCCCTATGAGTATCACTCTCTCCACAATTTAAAGGGGTAGTAGCTGTGCTCTAGAGTACAGTAAGATATTTTATGTCAGCAATCATAACACTGTCTTATGGAACTCCAATCCTACTTTAACCCCTAACATCCAATGAGATGTGGATAGGTAAAACAAGAATACAGCATCAAAGCAAAGTAGCTGCCATTACGCATATGCCCCTAATACTTACTGAATTTAAGCTGCAATTGTCACTGCTCATTTGCTGGCAATTTTCCAGATGAAGCAGGTCAGTTTTATAAAGCAAGGGCATGTATGTAGGTAATGTCAAACTCTAAGAGTAACACAGTTCTAGATGGAGTGTGATCTGAACTAAGTACTGATTGGCAGTACTGGCAAACTGTCCCAACTTGTGTTTCATTTTGTCTTAAAATGAATTTGAACACAGGACAAAAAAGAAAACTCTGTGGTAGACCTAAGAGTTTGGTATGGTTTGTCTGAAGTCTCTGCAAGGCCAAAAGTAAATATAAAAAGGAAAGAGACATTGAATCAACCATACATGTAAGGGGAAGAAGAGCAACAACTTAAAACATGTGTTGCAATTTAAAAAACCCAGTACACATCTAGCATAGAAAGAACTGAAGCACAAAGAAGGCGGAGGTTCTCAAACTGTTCTTGAGGAACTCTAGGACACGGTGACTTCTGCAAGAACATGAGTCAGCATTTACTACATAACCGCATGTAGTACAAGGTATTAATCTAGGTGCTTTGTGTAGTTATCTCATTTAGGGAAATAAGATTTGGTGAAAGTTTAGCATATTGAATTTAAGATTTCAGAACAACTGATTGCTAAAATGACAAGAAGTAAAAGTATACTGGGTTTGAAGTGTTCAAAAAAATTTGAAATAATAGGTTAAATAGGTGTTTAGATATACAGATTTTTTTTTTTAAATCCCCCATAATGATGACAAATGTTAGAGTAAAGATCCAAAGTCATTAAGAAATACTGGAGAGTGTCCAATGATCAAGTGACAGAGAAAAAACAGTAGACAATTATACATATGTAGTTCATTGTCTCAGAGGACTCATATAGGCTCAAAGGAGGATATGACATGTCAGTTGATAGTAAAATCTGGAATCAGCAAGAGAGGTAAAGAGTGTAAATGTTATTATAGCTCCACTGTAAGTTAAAAAACCGCATTTCAGATTAAACAATATGCTCAAAGTCAGACAGCTCACACATGGAGGAAATTTAAATGTCTCTGTATTCCTGTGCTATGACTTGTTTTATGTTAGGATGCTTTACCCCCATTCAGAAGGTGTTGCATGCATTTTTAACCCTTGATAGGGAGGAAAGCACCTTTCTCACTGCCATAGTTTCTATGAGGAATCATTTTCACTTTCCCCCTAATATCTAGGTTTCTATCTCGCCCTTCTTACTCATGCCCCATCGGGAGTGATCTGACAGAAGACTTTCCTCCTCTGCCCTCAAGAAGCAGGCTGTTAAATGAAAGCACACAGTGTGTCCTCCCCCGCGCCTTAAGTTTTACATGGGTCGGGGCCCACGCTGCTGCACACCCAGCCACACTCTCACATGTCAGCTTGTGTTTCAGTAATGCTGTGAGTGGTTTAAGAGAGTTAAATTTTAACCTTCTTTAATGTAGTATAAATAGATAATTTCTGAAAATTTGAAACCAGTAAAGAGTAAGAATCCCTTGAGTTCTGCAGGACACAATCTTGTCCTCTACCCTACCCCGCAGCCTCCCGGCCGCTGTCCTACCGATGATGCAATCTTCCTAGTCTCAGCTGCCTGCATCCCTCTCTCCGGCCATCACCTAGCGTTCTGGCTCACTCTCTTGGGTACCTCAACATCCACCGGCCCTTCAGCCTCACTGTTATTTCCAGTCTGAAAATCCTACAACCTTCCCACTGGCTCTCATTCTCTGCACGTCCTCTCTTCCTCCTTTGCCACTTATCAGTGAACATTCTCTATTACTCTGCTCTTAACAGCAATGATTCTTGCTAAAATTTTCTAAGTTTCAGTTCTAAGGACAGGGCCCATCCCAGTTTCTAATATTAATAAAGATTGCTCTTTTACAGTAGTAAGGTTAATCAAAATAAAATATGAAAGGGGAAAGGTTAGATATATGGGCTTAGTATAGCCTCTAGCCTTTTATTTCAAACTCTCATGGGATAATTAAACTTTCTATAACAGGAGAGCTAGGGGAATTCAGGAAAAGTAAGAAATTATATAGTTGTGTTTCTAATAAACACTAATAAAGACCAAATTTTATAAGAAAATATAAACAGGGTAACCAGATAAGAGAAAGAACACACAATAGTCAGTAGACTTCATTAAGAATCCTGGATTATACGTCAGGCCAAGGATTACCAACCCTTTTCATCTCATGGCACATATAAACTAATTATTAAAATTCTGTGGCACACCAAAAAATATATTTTTTGCTGATCTGACAAAAAAATTAGGTATAATTTTGATTCATTCACACTGGATGGCTATCGCTGTGTTGGCTGTTGACATTTTGTTGTTTGACAATCTAAGGGAAGAGAGGTCAGTGCTCCCTGGTCAGGTATCGCATGTTTTAAAAATTCTTGCGGCACACCAGTTGAAAATCGCTGCCTTAGGCTAATTATTTAATCCCTAGGATAGAATTTCCTTATTAATTTGTAAAATGAGGGGGCTGGATTACACCAGCAATTTTCAAACCTTTTTCTCCCCTAAATGGCAAATTCCAAATGACATTTTACCCAGAATGTGAATTTTAAAAAGTCTCCATGCTGTCTTCTGAAGCAATTCTGCAGAGCCCTGAGCTCCCAGAAACATAATTTGAACTTTTCTAGATCATTCTAGACCTATATCATTTGTAGAATACCTCAGAACTCTAAAAAGACCTGTGAAGAATCTTTGTATTTTGGAAAGACCAGAACCAGTACAGACAACTTAGTTCCCAGAATGCTGCAGAAAAGAAACTTGACATTTGAGGCAAAATGCTGGGCATGAACATGTCAGATGGTTTAAAATAAAATTTTCTATAAATGTATGTATAAATATTTTCTATAAATAAATAGTCCATAAATGTAAGAGACAAAAGAGTAGAAAGTACTATGTAAACAGAAAGAATTAGCACAATAAGGAATATAGTTTCTGCCAAAGAAGTTTAAAATCAAATTAGAGACTAGTAAAATGCATATCAGGAATCTAAAAGGTCTAGTTAGCCTGAGGGATGAATAGCTTTACTTAGTGTCTTCAAAGTTACAAAGGGAGGATTCATCCAAAGTGGGGAAGAATGCAGCAAAAAACTGAACTTGGAGATTACAACTGCAAGTGAAGAACAACCAATCAACAGTTATCCAGCTTTCTAGTTCTCTAACATTGTAGTTTGTGTAATTTTAAACTATTTTCTCTCTTCTAGGTTTTCATCATCTTCTGCTGTTTCTTTCTCTGTGCCGGTGTTATCTTTCTATCTCATTCAAGTTACCGCAGACTGAAAGAGCATCCATTTAGGACACTGAAAGTCTAGTACTAGCTCTGAAATTTATTAAGATGTAACTACTCTGGTTCTCAGATTCCTTAACTATAAAATGATCGCAAGACATTTAACTACTTTTAAGTTCTATTTTAAATATATGACTGTAACACAATAACCTGGCTACAAGTGAAATCTAACCAGCCATTTTCCCCTCTAACGATAATTATCTTTCTTAAGTTTCATTTTGACCATATCGGTCATGAAAAATCCTATAATTACTTTAAATAGGCTCTGAAATGAAAGAAATGACATCCGACCAATTAATTTATTAATTTCCCATTACGTAACATATTCTTCTATTATACTCAAATTTATAGCCACACGTCAAAGCCTAGGGCTAAAAGAAAGAACTAAACCATTGAGTGGCTAAAATGTGCCAGGCAATGCAAAGCATTTCATATACAATACCTCAGTTTTTCTTTCTTTGATATTTATATTTTATCTCCATTTTAGAGATGGTGAAACAAATGCCCAGTAATAAGGTTATGTAACTTGTCTACTATGAAATAGTTCGTAAGAAGCAGAGGGACAATGAACCCAGTCTCTCTGGCCTCAAAGCCAACCTTATAGCAAACCTGCTACATTAAAAATGAATGGAAACTGAAAGAAACATTTTATGGTCATAAATATGTATTCACATAGTTTAGAAAGAATTTGCAAATATAACAAGACATGAAGACTGTATCTATACACACTGACAACCTTAATTGTATTTCTCTCTCTGGTGGGCTTGACTGAATTATATTGGTCTAACTACTCGAATAGCTAATTTATAGTATGTAAAATGCTATTTCTCCTCCTGCCCTAAAAGAGAAAATATCAGGATTGAAAAAATTTCTTAGAAGTGTAACCTTTGTGATACAACAATTCCCTTAAAATCTCTCTTATATATTGCTCACTCAACTTTATTGAGAGAATTTACTATTTTCTATAGCAGCTCATTTCTTTTTTAACAGTATTATTCTTTGTACTGAAATGAAATCTGCCATCCATTGACTTTTGCTTTGCTCTCCACAGCCACAAAGTATACAGTCAATCCAAGGACAGAACATTACTACAGTTTACCACTTGCCCCTACTCCAAGCATTTGGCAAACACTGCTACTTGATCAGTATAATTTTCTCTGAAAACCAGAACGCATCCAGTAAATCTTAATGAGCTCCAGAAAATCACTACCAACTGATTAGAGCTGACACACACAAACTGAAATCTCTTGCTATCCTTAGTCTAATTCTTTTTGCACATTCCTTTTAACTTTAAAGATAGTTATCAAGTCTTCGTTAAATCTCTTCTTTAGTAGACTTAAAATCCCATTTTCCTTCAGTTCCATATGTAATAGGATTTTCATCATTCTAGCATTCCTCACTGAATAACCTTTTATAATACTTAATCTGATCTGAAGTATGATCTGATCCAACTCAAAGTTTGTTTTTCTCTTTAGCAAACTTTCTTTCTCATCCTAACCTTGGAATACTGCTTATGATTTGGTAGTTAGACCTTTGTTTTCCTACTTATAAACTCTTTCCCATTATGATTAACTGTTTTTATTAGCTTCTATAGTATATGATACTTATTTTTATCAGATCATTTATCACAGGTAATTCAGATGTTGTCAACTGTCCTATTAAAAGCCCTTCAATTGTCTCCCAATATATAGCCTATAAAGGCCCTAGCAATCTGGCACCTACCTATATACTTGCTATTTTACTTCACACTAATCTGTCTCATGATTTTTATTCTTACATCAAGTTCTCTACTACCTTTCAGGGGCGGGGATGTATGCTTTGTATCCTCTATTGGGAACACTCTCCCTGGATCTTTGCAAGTCTGGCAACTTTTCACTCATCAGGTCTTAGGTTAAATGTAGCCTCCTCAAAGAGACTTTCCCCAATTACTCTATTTAAAGTAGCCCACCTCCAATTTAATTACACCACCCCATTTACTCTCTTCATTGCACTTGTAGATTTTTTAAAAAACTTGTTTACTATTTATCTTCATTCATTAGAATGTAAGGTCCATAAATACAGAGAACTGAACTATTTTGATCAATTATCACCAGCATCTAGAACGATGCTTGACCTAGAACAAAAAAATCAGTGATTATCAAGCTTAAAAGTTCCATTAGAGCAATGAGTATATAGTATCTGTGTAAACTAGAACTAGTAAAATTCCTGCTGCATGTAAGATGTTCAATAAATATTTGTGAAATAAATGGAGTGATCTTAACCACTTCACATTCACTGTGACCTCTAATCAGATGACTTCCAAATCCACTTACCCAGCCCTGACCTGCAGTTCCACATCTTTAGTTATATAGAACCCATATCTCTATATACCTATAGAACTAGGTATCCAGATCCCATCCCCCTCCAATATTGATCTTTTCTAACTTCTGTGGCATCATTTTCTTTGAAAATTATATATTCCATTCTCTGTACTCATATCCTATTAGTTACTAAGTCATACTAATTTTTCTTTCATTTTCTACTGTAACTCTTTCTATTCCTACTGCCACATTTTACTTCAAGGTCTTATCATCTTACAGTTGTAGCACTAAAAAAGCCTCATGATTTATATGACTTTAGTCTCTCCTCTTTCAAATTCATTCTTCATACAAATCTGAAGACCAATTTTTCTGTTACGTATCTTCTGTACCAATCAGTATAAACAATTTAGCCTAGCGTTCAAAGTCCTCAACATCGTCAATATCATTTTAACTGAAATCATCAAAATAAAGGTATATTTGGGAAATGAGATGGTATATTCTCATACACAGTTTCATATGTAATAGTAAAAAGTCTGCAACTATTCAGATATATACTGAAAAGCCACTGAAGTGTAAGTTTAAGGGAACCTTGAGAGGCCGTGTTTATATTGTTTGTGGCTCATCTACCACCTGGAAGTGCCTGGAATACAGTAAGTATCAATGAATATTTGTTAACTAAATGCATAAATAATTATACATTTTTAATGAATAATGAATGATTCTTAGCCAGAGAATGAATGCCAAGATAAAAGTAGTATTCTCTGAAAGATCAGTCTGGTTCTCAGTCACATGGGGATTACTCAGTAAATTACTTCAGTATAAAATAGTCAACATTAATCGAGTTCTTACCACTAGTCTAAAGTTTTTATATGGGTTTAATCATCTCACACCTCAGTGAGATAGATGCTATTAAAGATAAAGGAAACTGGTATACATAAAAGGTTAAGTGTATTGCTCAAGTGCATAAACATTTAAGTGGCAGACACAGTATTGGAACCAAGAAAAGCGATGATGAGGGCCTAATTAGGATGCTGGCTGTGAGGAAAAAAAAATTATAAATTGGAAAAATATTTTAAAAGTAGAGGCTACAGCAGTAACTGCCACCTCATATCATCATTAAGCATTATAAATCTGCTTTCATTAATATATGTAATTTTTAAACTGATGTATGTATCATCAATCTGAACACCAAATGATAATAAAGCTTAATATCTTTTTTATTTAGATAAATAAGTTTTAGTATTAGATAGGTTTTACTATTTTCTTCCCATACTCCAATGAATGTATTAGAATTTAAATAATAAAGCTATTAATCGTCATAGATTTTATTTACTTATTGCTATTATTTTTTAATCTTCACCAGAAGATATTTTTTAAAAAATTGATTTTAGAGAGAGAGGAAGGGAGAGGGAAAGAAAGAAACATCGATGAGAAAGAGAAACATCGATCAGTTGCCTCCCAAATGTAACCAGACTGGGGATCAAACCCATAACCCTGGGTATGTGCCCTGACCAGGAATCAAACCCACAACCTTTTAGTGCAAGGGACGATGCTCCAACCAACTGAGCCACACCTGCCAGGGCTCATCATGGATTTAAATTTACTGTATGCCAAGTTAACTTCTATGGCTACAGATTGCATTCTAGCCATTCACATAATTTATGAAAGCCATGAGACACATGGAGTGCTGAATGACTAAGCTCATTTCAAATCCGGCTTTGATATATAACCTACAAATGGTGGGTCAGAAAAATCACCTTAGTGGTTAAAGAATGCATTATTAAAATAAAATATATTTCAATATTAGATCTCACCTGCTTGTCTATCTTTCAGGTTAATATAAACTACACATTTTCAAATCACTGCACAAATGAAAGCTACAGCAGCAATCTGATATTCACCTCTCTCTTAAGGTGGGTAGATTTCAGTATAATTCAATAGATGACAAATATAAAAAAAAACAGGTTCTTCAATTCTGTTAAAAAGAAAACTTCTCAAAGTCTTATGAAACATAAATTTTACATTCAAAATGAATATAATGAAAATTCAAGTAAAAAGTTTCTCATCTTACCCTGTCTAGTTCCAGTGTAAACTTCTGGTCCCATGACTGATTGGAAATGGGTTTCCAGCTAGTTTGACCAACCACAGTATTATCTAGCTTCAAAACTGCGCACACATCATCTGTAATTAAAATTTATAAACTTGCTTAAATATTTTAAAAACTTTAAAATAAGAGCACCACAGTTTAACAGAATTAAAAGTCTTCCAATCCTTTGAAAATAAGGTTTTTCTTACTCAATACTGAAGCTTCTGAATCTTAAATAGCTAATTTTATATATACATACACTACCACTAGACACTCCCAAATTACCCTGTTTGGCAAAACCAAAAATATCAACTGCTATCTATTTTATTTATATTAGAATGTAACTGAAAGGTCGAATAGGTGACCAGTAGCTGTTTGCCACAATATATGTGTATTTGTGTGTTTATAGAGTTAACCCTTGAACAATGTGGAGGTTAGGGGTGTTGAACCCCTGTGCAGTCAAAAATCCGCATAACTTTTGACTCCCCAAAAACTTAACTACTAATAGCCTACTGTTGACTGGAAGCCTTACCAATAACATAAGCAGTCAAGCAACACATATTCTGTGTTAAATATATTATGTACTGTATTCTTATGATAAAGCTAGAAAAAAATATTTAAAAACTGCAAGAGAAAGTACATTTACAGTATTGTACATATTTATTGAAGAGAATCTGCAGATAAGCAGACCTGTGTAGTTCAAATTTATGTTGTTCAAGGGTTAACTGTATATCAATAGCAATCACCCAGTTTTTCTCCCTCTATATTTGCTTATTTATAGTTTGTTACCTTAGACATTTCTTATTTTCACATTTTTCCTAAAGTCTCTCTCTACCTACAGGAAAGACATATTCACCTTTGTACTTTGTACTAGGTTGAAATGTCATGTGCCTTTCTCCCTAGTTATACATTTGTATCATTTTATAATTATACTTTGTTTTAATTTTTATTTATTGATCTTAGAGATAGAGAGAGGAAGGGAAGGAAGGAGAGATGGAGAGAAAGAAACATCGATTTATTGTTCCACTTATTTATGCATTCATTGGCTGATTCTTTTGTGTCCTGACCCGGGATAGAACCCGCAACCTTGCTGTATTGGGATAATGCTCTAGAGGCCTATAATTATACTTTAGAAAGTCTTCAAAATGCTTCATGAACCTGTTATATTTACTCTTACTACCTTCACCTGCTCCCCCATTTCTATATACTACTGGGACAGTGGGCTACTATCTTAGTAAACATGTTTGGTCCAGTGGTTAGTTATCAAAGTTCAATGTTAGTTTAGAGGTGTCACTATATCATTAAAAGAATCAAGATGTGACAAGTCCCACAGCCTCTGTACACTTTTAGTTTGGTATAGTGAGTGATGCTTACTATTTCATTCCTACAAAAGAATTAATGCTATATGTCATTCAGTTTTCTAATATGTTTTCAATAAAGTAAATTTTGTTGCCTTTTTCATTTTCCTGTCATTATAGCTTTTAATATTTTAAAATTACGAAAATCATAATTTTGAAGTTTTTTGGTCCAACTTTGACTCTCCCCATTCTACTATTCCCGATGCTAAGTCCTTTGTATAAGCCCCTTAATTTGTTATATGATTTTTAAAAAATGTAGTTACTGAACTGGATAAGTCATCGGTTTTTAGGAGATTTCGACTACTTCCACTTTTACTTTTGCTTGTTCTGCTCATGAAAGATGATCTGGTTTCACATGGACTCCAACCAGGTAGTGCAACTGATGTTGCTTTTGACCGTCCAGGGACATTCTCTAGGATATCTTGACAGCCCATAAGACGAACTTCCAAAGTACCTGTTGGCATAAAAAAAAAAAAAAATTAAGACGATTAATTCTTAATATATATAACTATGTCTTTGTTTCCTATTTAGAAACCGGGGGGAGGAGGGTAGAGACATGCTAAAGTAGCAAAATCTCTTCTCCCAGAGGATCTGTAGGTAACATCATCTTTCCTATTTTAATTAGAGAAACCTATTAAAAATCTAAAGGCAACTATAAGAAAGTTTATAGAAAGAACAGCACCTCCCAATACTGTCTGTAGGGCATAAAACAGTTGCATAAACTTCCTGTATATCTGAAGACTCATTTCTATAATTACATGGAAGAATTAAAGAATTATGTGGATAGAACATGTGGGAGGGGAAACGTAAAGCTAAATAATATACCTATTAAAATAAACATACAGAAACTAGAAATCTGACTAGGTGAATAATAGCTGTGTTTAATAGTTATGTAGTTAATACAGAAAAGGACTTTACAGGTTTCTTTTGCATAAATAAATGGATCTCCATTCTATATGAAGATGTAAAATAACATTATCTTTCCATTCTAATAGTTTAGTCAAATAATTATGGGTTGTAATTATCTAAGTACAAAGTAACTGCAATTTCCTTAGGCAAATAAATACTAACGGTGTTTAAAATGAAAATGAGGAACTGTGATTCAGGGTACCTGGAGATATGGCTTTGTCATCATTTGGGCTAGACTTAGAGTACTAAGACTTAAAAATGGTGCTTTAGTATCAGAATTTTAGATATCATACATAGCCTAGTACTTTAGAACGAGTATTTCCTGGTAAAAGCTTTCCTATTAAACTTAAATGATTAAAACTTAATTTTATTTAAAGGTTTTAAATATCTAAAAGTAACCAAAGGGCTTTTAACAGAATAAAAAAGCCTGGATTTGTCTTCAACTCAACTAACTAACAAAATCAGACAAAATATTTGAAAAAAATGGTATTAAAATATTGGACGTCAGGCAATGAAGAACAGTGATCCCCAAGAGATGGGAAACAAAGGAGATGAACCCTAAGACTGATTCATCTTACTGCCTTGAGAATATCCAGGACAGTGCAGGGAGGGAGGATCTTGGGTGGAGCCAAGTGTACTACCCAATTAAGGTGACAGAACCGAGACTGAAATGACCAAGGCAACTAGAATTAATAGAAGACAGCTGACCAGAGACAAAACTTCTTGGAATTATAGAGGGTCCTCTAATCAAGTCTTCAATATTGACCCAGTAGCAGAGAATTATCCTTAGACTAAACAATGCTCTAGCCCCACATAACAAATCTTAAAAGCAATCCCTAAAAGACCAAACTGTTTCCAAGTAATTTAACTGTGACCTAAAACAAAGCTCAAGAACATTTACAGAATTACACAAATATCCAGCACCCAACAAACTAAAATTCAAAATGTCTGGCATCTAATCAGAGATTACCAACTGTATTTGTTTTCTAAGGCTGCATTTTCAATGACCACAAACCTAGTTTGAAACAATACGAATTTATTATTTCACAGTTCTGTGGGTCAGAGTCTGGGTGGGCTGGTCTGCACTCTCTGCTAAAGATCTCGAAAGGCTGAAACCATCATGTCCACCAGGAAAAGCTCTTACCTGGAAGTTCTGAAGAAAAATCAGCTTCCAAGCTCATTCAGGTTGTTGGCAGAATCCAGTTTCTTGCAGCCATAGGACTGGGGACACTACTTTCTTTCTGGTTAACAGCTAGGGAATGCTTTCTAGTTCTAATGGCCACCTGCATTCCTCCTCATGCGGCCCCCTTCATTTTCGAGCCAGCAGTGGCATATAAAATCCTTTTCATGATTCAGATTTATCTGATTTCCCCTCTGCCACGAGTGTCTGAAAATTCTCTGCTTTTAAGGAGCTCATGTGATATATTAGGCCTACCCAGATAACTGCCCTGTACTTTAACTCAAAGTCAACTGATTAGTAGTAACCTTAATCACATAAGTGAAATACCCTTTGCCATATATTATCACAGAAGTGATGTCCCATTATATTCACAGGGGAGGTGTTCAGGGGTCATTCTTAAAGTTCTGCCTATCACACCAGGAAAGCAAATAATTAGAAAACTAGGAACCATAATTTAAAAAAATCAAATGAAAAACATAACCCCAAAATGACATGTTAGAATTAGCAGATACAGACATTCACACAGTTATTATAACTATATCCCATCTATTCAAAAAGTTGAACAGAGACAGAAAAAAATCAAAAAGACCCAAAACAAATTTCTAGAGATGAAAACCATAATGTCTGAGATTTAAAGGAAAAAACACTGGATGGGATCAGTAGCAGATTATACATTGCAAAAGGAAAGACTAGTGAGCTTGAAGCTATAGTAATGGAAATGATAAAATATAGGAGACAGAAAGACTTGGAAATAAAACCAATAACTGCATATGTCAACTGTGAGTTTAACTTCAGTGGCCTAATATATGTACAACAAGTGCCTGGTGAAGAGCAAAGAGAAGAAAAGACAGAAAGCATATTGGATGTTATTAATAGCTTTATTTGAAAAAGTACAAAATAAAAATAACCCAAAAATATCAACTGCAAGTGAATGGATAAGCAAATTTTGGTATATTTACACAACTGAATACTAATAATAAATAGAAAGAAACTACTGATACACAAACATAGATGAAAATCAAAATAATTGTTCAGCGTGACAAAGAACAATTACCCCCTAGCAAAGAAACGGTATATACTGTGACTCCTTTGATATAAAATTCTACAAAATGCAAACTAACATCTAGGACAGAAAACAGATCAGTGATTGCCTGGGGACAGTTGTAGGGAAGGAGAGCATGAGAAGAGCAGCAAAGATGGGTTAGACAGAAGCAAATGAGGACACTTTTGGGGATGACGGATATAGTAATTATCTTGATTGTGGTGGTGGTTTCGCAACTTTAAATGTGATAAAACTTCTAAAATTATAGCTTTAAATATGTGTAGTTTATTGTATGTCAATTATATCTCAATAAAACTGTTCTAATAACTGGACATTGATGATTGTAGCATAACTATATATCTTTACTAAGAATCAGAAAATTGTATACTTAAAACAGGTGAATTCTATGGTATGTAAAAATTATGTTTCAATAAAGCTGCTAAAAGTGGGATGGAAGAAGCTCCAATCCTATGTTTGGTTAGGCTATGCAAATCTTACCTAACTGTAAAGTGTTAAGGCAGATTAAGTATAATGGTTTCCATTTTAATTTTAGTTCAAAAGAAACAACTTGTATTTGTATGTTTTATTTGCTCCTTTGTTGTTAAACTGGCAAACTTAGCTCATTTTCAGGGTAAATGCTCAGCTGTAAAAGTAATCCTGGGGAAAATGAAAACATCTGGTTACTACCTCAAACCCTGGTAGCTTATTAAATATTTTAGTAATTTCAGTATTAGGAGATAACAATGCTCAACACCTGCTTTCATTTAGAAAAAAATATCTGGAGGGATTTAAGATCTTTATTAAGCATCTAGAAGTTTCTTCCTTTTATGAGGTAATACAATTGCAATTTCATATGACCATATTAGAAATAGCTTAAAATTACATTTTTTACTTTTATAACCACAATATAAAAATTTTTAAAACAAGCAAATTCAAGAAGTAAATGTTTATTTTCATAAGCAGTACCTATAAATTCCATTAGAACAAGTAAATGCATTTTCATTTCTTTTAATTTTCTGGAAAAACTACTTTATATAAAATTACACTTTACTAAATTCAGCATTTAATCTTGGTAAAAGTGAGTAGCATTGTTTAATTCTGAGGAAATCTTCTTCTATAAAAACTATTTAATGTCTCAAAATGTGGATCTAAAAGATTCAATTATTACATACATTATATGAAAGTAGCAACAAATATGTAAATTTCAGTATTATAATCATATAACCACAAAATAAACCTGAGTACAAATGAGACAAACCATAAATAGTAGCATTCACTGAAAAACTCAGGATAGTAAATGTTCTTACTGCTTATCCATGCTAATCCTTCATCATGTCTACTCCTTAATTAATACCAATACTATTTCTACTCCTAATTACCCTGTATTTCGTTTCAGGTCCAGTAAGAACTTAAAGAAATTTTTTTTAAAACCAAAATTTCTTAAGAATTAAGATATTTCTTTTTAGATTGGTGATTTACATCACTTTGAGTAAAGTACACTAAGGGAATAAAGAAAAGAAATTGAAAAGAGGTTAAAGAATTGGGGAGAGGAGCCAACCAGAACAGAAAAGGGAAAAAAAGTTCCAGCCATACCCACAGATTTTCTAAAACATGGCTTTATTACTTTTCTAGAAATATTAATTTTCAAATATTTGAAAGCCATATTTCAATCTTTCAGAAGTTTTTGAATATTAATATGTTCAGTGCTGAACCATAAGATGGTGAAACTTAGAGATTAAGTATAGTCCCTGCCTTATTATTGTGAAATATTTACCAAGTACAGGAGTGCTCCCTTATCCATAATGTCGCTTTCCAGTTTGTTATCCATGGTCAACCTAGGTCTGAATATATTAAATAAAGAATTCCAGGCATAAACAACTCTTAAGATTTAAATTGTGCGCTGTTCTGACTCAGATGATGAAATCTCTCGCTATTCTGCTCCTTCCTGCCTGGGACATGAATCATCCCTTTGTCCAGTGTATCCATGATGTATAAGCTACCCATCCCTTAGCCACTTTGCAGCTGTCTTGGTTATCAGATCTATTTGTCATGGTATCATAGTGCTTTTGTCCAAGTAACCCTTATATTACTTAATGGCCCCAAAGAACAAGAGTAGAGATGCTGGAAATTCAGATATGCCAAAGAGAAGTCATAAAGTGCGTCAAGTGAGAAAGTGAAAGTTTTGGACTCAATAAGAAAAAAAAATTTTACATTGAGGTTGCTAAGATCTACTTTAAAAACAAATCTTCTGTGACATTGTGAAGAAAAAAAGAAATTCTTGCTAGTTTAGCTGTAACACCTCAAACTGCAGAAGTTACAGCCA